TCTAAGTTTAAATCATAACACCTCATGTGAAAATGTGGTTAGTGTCTTCTTTTGTATATATTTGATCATGGTTTGAATCTCACACTTTACATATATTTTTCTCAATTTTAGTTTAACGAGCCAATTTCGAGCCAACCACAAACATGAATGCTTAAATCGAGCCGAACACAAACACACAGTTCACTAGCCAATTTCGAACACGAGCTATTTCGAATGAGCCGAACACGAGCCAAGCCTGAGCTCGCTCAAGCTCGGCTCGTTTACAACCCTAGTCATGATCAAAACATTGAGAATTTGATAAAAATGAAAAAAATTATGAGCGGGACTTCTACTATTAATTTTGATATTTGAGTGAGAATTTGAAAAATAAATGAAGAAACAACGTTGTTTAAGGGGGCAATGTGTGTAATTGCTCTTATTAATTTGTAGCCATTCATTAATTTTTTATTTGAGAACGTGTTGAACTTCGTTCATTGAACACCACCGCCTGGATAAATTTACATTTGGCAATGGTGTATTTTCGAAATTTCCCTGGATGAAGATGATGAAGCCTGCTCCACACGAGAAATTATTGTATCAAGAGTCCCGTTGTTGCTTTGCATCAAAACTTCAATTAAACTCTGCCACGTGTACATACAAACTCCCAATTTGATAAATAGGTGGATACACGTGACAAACTCTAATTGAAATCATGATGTAAAACTGTATCAGAACCCTTGATAGAATAATTTTTCGTTTCACATGTGTCTTTTGAAGGAAGCCATAATTAAAGGTTGAAGTTGGCATTAACCGTTACAAAGCAGGCGTTACTTGACGATGCCGTTACTTTCGAAATGCCCGATCCTCATGTCCAAGCTAACGTTTGCATCACGTGGGCTTGTGACCTTTGTCGGCACTGACGGCTTTACCCGAATCGATCCACCACTCCTTTTTAAGACCTCACCCCCTTTCCCTTTATTGCGAATCAATCTCCTCTCTCTCACACTAGCTTGCTCTTAATCCATGGCGGCGATGACCTACATCTGCTTCGCGATGGCCGCGCTCCTGCTCGGCTTCCTTTTCTCACCTGCAAGTAAACCTCTCTTTCCTCTCTCTCTCTCTCCCTTTACCCCCGAGAAAATTACAGAGACATCGAAGAACGAGAATTAAAGCATCTGAAAAGAAGCTATGATGATTTTACTCGGATCTGTCGTCTCTCTTTCCTCTCCCGCTTTCTGCTTCCGATAAAAGCGAAGAAGAAAGTAATGGCCATGGCAGATCTCCAACAGAGCATTACCCCCCCCATTGAAGTTCCTCTTAGAACTCCTGAGGCTCTCACTCAATACCTAATCTCACTCTTCTCCGCTTCGATCTTCATATCCTTTTTATTTTTTTCGGAAATTTACATATATACCACTAAGTTCTTATGCATTCACTTAACTCACCCTAAATTTTTAATTTTTTACATTCTTAATATTTACTTAATGTTCGAAGGAGTAGGGTGCAAATGAGCCGAACACGAGCGAGCCCAAGCCCCACTCGCGTTCGGCCCCAAGCCCCACTCGTGTTCGGCTAATTTTTATTTTGAACTCAAAAAGTGTGTTCGTGCAAGAGCCGTTCATGAACAAACAGCCATTTTGACAACTCTAATCACTCAGTCATGAGATGTTAAAAATTATGGTAAGATTTAAAATATCATATGAATTTAATTTAATAATTTTTATTTTATTTTCTTCATTAATATTTTTAAATATTTATAAATTTTTGTAGCTTGTATTCGATTAAATTTTTAAAAAATATTAAGCTAAAAAAGAGTCGAACATGAATGAATAAATATTTATTTATGTTGTTCATGTTGGGCTTCTTAACTCGAGTTATTTTTAATAAATTTTATCGATTACTAATGCTATTTTTAATAAATTATTTTCTGGACCGGAAGGTTCGCAGTCGTTCATCGGAGTGAACTATGGGCAAGTTGCAGATAACCTTCCCTCCCCAACGTCGACCATCCAGCTCCTCCGCTCCACCACCATCACTAAACTCCGCCTCTACGGCGCCGATCCGGCCATCCTCCGCTCCCTCGCCGGAACCCAAATTTCCGCCGTTATCGGCGCGGCCAACGGTGAAATCGCCTCCCTCGCCGGCGATCCTTCCGCCGCCTCCCGATGGGTCGCCTCCAATGTTCTCCCCTTCCTTCCATCCACCTCAATCTCCTCCATCTCCGTCGGAAATGAAGTTCTATCCTTCGGCGATCCCTCAATCATATCCCAGCTCCTCCCTGCAATGCAGAACCTCCGATCTGCTCTCATCGCCTCGTCGTCCCCATCCGCTGCTGCCATAAAGGTCACCTCCGTCCACTCCATGGCCATCCTGGCACAATCGGAACCACCTTCTGCTGGCGCATTTCACTCCGACATCGCCCCCACGCTCCAAGCCGTTCTTGATTTCTTGAACAGGACCGGATCCCCCTTTATGATCAATCCCTACCCGTTCTTCGCTTACCGCAGCGATCCGCGGCCCGAAACCCTATCGTTCTGTCTTTTTCAACCCAATCCAGGGCGATTCGACGCTGGTAGCAAGCTCACATACTCCAATATGTTCGACGCGCAGGTAGATGCGGTACGCTCGGCACTGAATTCTGCCGGGTATCCAGCGGTCGAGATTGTTGTGGCAGAAACAGGGTGGCCCTACCGTGGGGATCCGAATGAAGTCGGAACGACCGTGGACAATGCTAGGGCTTTTAACGGGAATCTGATCGCGCATCTCAGATCAATGGTGGGTACGCCATTGATGCCGGGGAAGTCAGTAGAAACCTACATTTTTGCGCTGTATGACGAGGATCTGAAGCCGGGGCCAACATCAGAGAGATCTTTCGGGTTGTTCCGGCCTGATTTGACGATGACGTATGATGCGGGGTTGAAGGAGGCGGCGGCTGCTCCGGCGGCTGCGGCATTGGGAGGGTGGTGCGTTCCAAAGGAGGGTGTGACGGAGGAGGAGTTGCAGGAGAACCTTGATTTTGCTTGCGGGCAGGAGGGGGTTGATTGCAGTTCCATACAGCCTGGAGGAGCATGTTTTGAGCCGAATACAGTTAAATCACATGCAACTTATGCTATGAATCAGCTGTTCCAGGTTTCTGGGCGGAATGCGTGGAACTGTGACTTCCGGCAGTCGGCTATGCTTACGGCTCAGAATCCCAGTAAGTTTCTGTTTTTAAAGATCAACATTAATACATATCTCTCATTAAAATTTATGATTTTTTTATTTAAATATAAAATTTAATAATTTTTTCTGATGTAATTTAGACAATTTAATAATTTTTCCCCTCCTTTATATATTTTCTTTTCCCAATGCTTAAAAAAATTAAATATTTTATGAATTTTCCTTCTTAAATAATAATGCTGGTTTTGCCCAGGCGTTGAAAAATATTTGCGTACATAAGACGTACGCAGCGCTGTGTACGTTAGGGGTTATTTAAGGGGTAAATGGGGGTTATATCCGGGTTATACCTCCTTGTAACCTCCGTGTAACTCCCTTGTAATCTCCGTGTTAGGGGTTATTTAAGGGGTAAATGGGGGTTATATCCGGGTTATACCCACTTATAACCTCCTTGTAACTTCATTGTAATCTCCGTGTAACTTATTTGTACCCATGAAACTACAAAAGCGCGAAACTCATTTGTAGGTTGCAGGTAGTTTACAAAGAGGTTATATGGGGGTTATAGAGGGGTATAAACTCGATATAACCTCCTTGTACCCCCTGAATAACCCCTGGACGTACGCAGCGCTGCGTACGTCTTATATACGTAAATATTTTCCGATAATGTGAAGGCAACAACCCTTTTCTAGGCTGGATGGAAAATGGTTTACTGTCAACTTAAATGGAGCTAAAAATAAAGGTTTCAGGATTGTTAAATAGATAAAAAGTAAAAAAAAAAATTATCCTCAACTTTTTAAGGGGCACCTTAGCTCTTCATTTGGATCGTATATGCTCTGTTACAATCATGATTTTGTAAGTTTCTTTTTGTCTTCATAGGTTATGGCGGATGCGTATTTCCTGTAGGTGGAAGCTAAGTTGGATGGCTGATTACCGTTTTCGGAGAAGAATAAGAGAAGAAGGTGAATCTTTTATATATATATTTTTTGCTCTTTTCTTTTTTTTGGGCAAAATATTACATAAGGACGGTGGAGGGTGGATGACCGTGGTTTGGCGGAGAAAAAAAAATGAATAAAGACCTCCCCTGGATCGCAATGGTGGTCGTAAGTGCGGCGTCCACACCTAATAATTGTTCTTGTTTTGTGGTGGTGGAAGTTGTTGGAAAATGGTTGGCTCAAACGTGAAAGATGTGAAGTTTAAATTGGCAATGGGGGTGAATTATTGTATGTTGTACCAGTGGAAGATGGGATGTGATTAGGCTCTTTTTGTTGTAAATTATGACGGATTTGGTATATAAGGTATGTATGTGTGTTTTTTATTTGGTTGATATTGGCCTTTTGTGTAAGTGGATCAAGTTGTTGTTTGGATGAAAATATTTTATTTCTATTAGAGCTTCGATCTAGTTAGAAATCGAAACCACTCTGCAGAATAGGTTATCACAAATTCAAGAAAGTCAAAACAAAATATTCAAATGGAAGCACAATAAAATAATTTTAGAAAAGCGCATGAGGATTTAACATGAAAAAAACTTGAGAACGAGAATAAACACACAACCACACAACTAAAAAAATTTCAATATGAAGTTTAGAAATATACAGAATATTCATTCAAATATTTTCTTTACAATCGATAGAACTTATAGGACTTTACTCTAACTCTTTTCTCTCGATCTTATAAGAAAAAAATACATTGAAATTCTCCTCTCTGATACTTCTTTTCTTCACGAGAACCCTTGTTGAAAGAACTGAACGCTAGGCTCTTAATCTCTCGAAATCGCAAATTTAAGAACTATTAAAGGAACAACCGTCCAACAACATGGTCACGTTGCATATGGGCGTAGTTATTTTGCTCGCTCGGGAACACCGAACTTGACGACATGGTTGCGCCATTTCGAAGTAATGGAGAATGATATTACCCAACAACTATCTCTAGATTTACAACTTCATTTGTTCCTTCTTCATAGTCATATGTTGTGGTGTGTATTGCCCCTAGTCTCAAACTTCATGGACTCCAACTGAAACTTAGTATAACTCCAATTTCTCGATAGTCACCATTTTCATCAACATGTCTGTTGGATTCTGACGTGTGTATATTCTCCATGAATAATTGCCCATTTTATAGGAGAGCGTATAAAGTGATACTTCAGCTGAATTTATTTATCTTGACATGAAAAAATAGAGTTTTTAGCAAAGTTAGTTGCACTCATGTTGTCACTATGAAGCTTTCCAATACCATGCTCCTTACCCAATTATGCCAAAAAAGCTCTACAGCCAAATCATTTTATTGCTAGTCTCGGTGATAGCAATGTATTTGACCTTCATAGTTGAAAGTGCAATAATTTTCTGTAGCTAGGAAATCCAACTCAATGTTGTGTTCCTCAAAGTGAAAAATATATTATGTTTTAATCTTTCTACCATCCAAGTCTCCTGCCATATCTGAATCTTCAAATCCTTGTAAGCTAATGCATGCACATCTTTAACAAAGTGTCTCATTGACTGTTCCCCTCAAATACCTGAGAATTCACTTTATCGCCTCTCAATAACGTCTGCCTGGATTGGTCGTGTACATGTTGACCACTTATACTACAAACACAATATCTAATAGAATATAAATCATAACATATATTAGACTTCCAACTGTTGAAACATTCGATGTTCTACATATTCATGTTTGCTCTGCTTCAAACTTAGGCGATAGGTCGTTAAATTGTTTGAAGTGACTATCTAACTTGGTGCAAACGGCTTTGCCTTATTCATGTTGAATCTCTTTAGGATTTTCTCAACATATTTTATCTCAGACAACTTCAGTATACCTGCACTCTTATGCCTATTGATTCTCATCCTGAGGGTTTTTCTGGGGCAACTTAATTCCTTCATCTCAAACTCACTTGATAATTGCTTCTTTTTCGTAATTTTCTCCATATACGTCCTTGTAATCAACATGTCATCCACATATAAAAGGAGTAAGATATATCAATTATCAAAGTATTTGATCAAGCAATAGTGGTCTGCCTAACACCATGTGCCTACTATCTCACATGAACCTGCTAAACCTTCTATACCACTATCTCGGGACCTGCTTCAAGCCATATAAGCACTTTTTAACATGCAAACCAAACCTTATTTTCCTAGAACCTTGTAACATCGCAGTTGCACCATATGTATTTCCTCCATATCTCTATGTAAGAAAACTTTTTTATATCCATTTGTTCCAGATGTAGATCTTTCTCAACTACCAGACTTAACACAACCCTAACGATTGTCATCTTTACCACCGGAGGAAAAATATGTAGTTCACTCATTCATTCTGCTGGAAACCCTTCACAACATGCCTTGTTTTGTAGCGTCTGCTACCATTTAATTCATTTTTTAGCTTGTAGATATATTTGTTGTGTAGTGCTCTTTTGTCATCTAGTTAAACTGTCAAAACTCAGGTCCAATTTGACTTCAATTAATGTATTTTCTCATCCATGACAAGCTTTCACTTTCTTGAATCTTCAACTTGAGTGGCCTCCATCTGTGTATCAGTCGTATCACTCTACTGAGCTGCCTGACTTTAGTAGCAGGTGATTGAGGAATTTTATGTGCTTCATCTGGTTGAACACTTCTTCTTTCTCCACTCTCTTGATCACTATAGCCTTCTATCTCATATACTTGGATTTTCAGAAGTCACCCGGCTATCCTAATTTTCGACCCTATCTTTATCCATTTATATTTCATTGAATGCAATATCCTTGCTCTTGATGAATTTCTGATTTTGATAATTCGAGAGTTTGTATCCAAAATTATATGAGTCATATCCAATAAAGGTGAACCCTACATCAATATGTACATATGCAGAATAGTCAAATATTTTAAATGAGATATATTTATGTTTTTGTCACTTCAGACTTCTTCTGATAAAGCTTCCTGACAGCGACTTTATATATGCTTAAAAATACAAGTATTTAATATTGCTGTTAGAAGATTTAATTCCTCAACAACGACACCAAAAATTTAATAACGGTTATAGATTCGATAAAGATGTATATATAATATATTCAATAATGGTAAAGTCACACTTATCAACGCAAGTATACATATCGCTTAAGTAATATAGGGCTCTAATGAAGTCCTAGATATCGATCCCACAGGGAGTAATATTAAAACTACGAACTAAGATTTTAGAAAATCAATACTTAATCACAACAATATAATTCAAATTACTTATCTGTCACTAATTGACAATTGAAATAAATATGTAATTTTGATAACTCTTAAATAACTAATTATACTAATAAAGTTTCTAATGTGATCTTCAATATATAAGAAAACATCATTCTCTTTGTCAAGAAATTATAGTGAATGGATAAAGTGAATCAGTTCAAATTGTATTGTGCTAAATAGGAGCATACCTATTTTTTACCCTTTGGTCTAGACATAAAGAACATTGACTAATTCTACGCTTGTTTACTGAATTTGCGATTAGGCTGGGAAGATACCGACTCTCACTTCGGAGCTCCCACGT